TGACCTTAAGTAATTCAATAGAAAAAAGAATCCAATTTTAAAATAGGTGAAAGATTTGAATAGACATTTTTAAAAAGAAGACATACAAATGGCCAACATGTATATGAATAAATGCTCAACATCACTAATCAAAGAAATGTGAATCAAAACTACAATGAGATATCATCTCACCACAGTAAAAATAGCTTTTATAAAAAGAACAAGCACTAAGGGATGCTTCTTTGAGAACATAAAGGGTAACCCTTGTACATTGTTGGTGGGAATGTATGTACAACCACTATGGAGAACAGTATAAAAGTTCCTCAAAAAAGCTAAAAATGGAACTACCATATGATCCAGCAATCCCATTGCTGGATATATATTTAAAATAAAGAAAATTAGTATATCAAAGAGATGTCTGCACTCCCATGTTTACTGTAGCACTATTCACAATAGCCAAGATACGGAATCAACCTAAGTGTCCACAACAGATGAATGGATAAAGAAAATGTGGTACATATACACAATGGAGTACTATTCAGCTGTGAAAAAGAATAAAACTCATTTGCAACCACATGGATGGAACTGGAGGACATGTTAAGTCAAATAAACTAGGCACAAAAAGGCTAATATTGCATGTTCTCACTCGTATGTGGGAGCTAAAAATTAAAAGTTGAACTCATGGAGATAGAGTAGAATGATGGTTACCAGAGGCTAGGAAGGGTAGTGGGGAAGAAGGTATAAAGAGGGGTTGGTCAATGGGTACAAAGATACAGTTAGATAGAAAGAAAAAGATCTATTGTTCAGCAGCACAATAGGGTGACTATAGGTAACAATAAAACGTTAAAACGTAAAAAGTTTCAGCAGGTTTGAGTTTGAATAAACTATTTTGGCTTACTTTGAAAGAGGCTATTTTGGGATTGGTGTTTTGTTTTGAGGCCTAGACATCAATCAAAGCTGACCATTGAATGCTTGGTATTTTGTCTTTCCACTTTTTTAAGAGTTCCTTGTAAGCATATTATGGTTGACATTTTAAAAGTCCCATTATGGCTTTTTTGATTCTATTATTCTTAGTGAACTTAGTAATTTATAAATGTACACATAAAAATTATAGGAATATAATGAGTATATATAGTAAGAGTTTTGCCAGGAAGATGTAGACAGTTACATGATCAACATAAAGGGACCACTTCAGTTGGTCAAAAATTGTGCTTATAAATGTGTTAGAATCCTGCCTAAGCAGAGGCTAGGAAGAGATCATATTAATGACCTCAGAATATGTATTGTGCGAAGTGACTTTCCATAATTTGATAAGACAAGGAACATCCTTAGATAAGTTTTTGTTAGGCACCTAAGGATGCACTGTGAATCATCGTTACGTTTTCGTGAAGCATAGCACAAGTTTGCAGTTAAGTGATTTTATCAGTCTGTTTCTTGCTTATAGAATTTTCGGAGTCTAACACTGTTTTTTTTTTGTTTTGTTTTGTTTTCTCTTTTCATTTGGTCTAAGCTGCAAGTGTTTCTGCTAGTATAACATTCTCAGAATCCTTGTAAACTGGCACACAATTTGCTCCATTAGACAAGAGACCTTTCACATGTCTTTTCTGGATAATCCCATCTCTATTCCTGGCTTCTGATGACGAAGCTGAGTCACATGCCTGATCTCTTCACAAGGATTTCAGGAGGCTTGAATAGGGTCCTCTGACTGAATCCTGATTGTTTTAGGCTTCCTTTAGTTTCCAATTCCTCATTTCTCCCCAGCACACATTTAATGTATTCCTGCCGGCAGTCTGTTTTTGATAATGCAGGTATTCTGACATCATGTGGGCCCTCTCTACAGTATCCTCACTTTCTTCTGAGTGCTCACTAGCAGAGTTGTTAACATTTGTATTTCTAGTAACAGTTTATTCAAGGCAATCTAGGCTTTCCCCCAGGATATTTTAGTTTTTGCTTATTTTTTTAATTGACAAATAAAAATTGTATATATTTACAGTTTACAAAATGATGTTTTGAAATGTGTATACATCATGGAATGGCTAAATGAAGGTAGTTAACATGCATTACCTCATATACTTGCAATACTGGAATACATACTGGCTTTTCCATTTTGCTTTTTGTAATTCTTTTAGCCTCTTCCCGCTGACCAATTCAAAAGTCACCCCCACATTTTTAAGTATTTGTTACAGCAACACTCCACATTTGATACCAAAACCTATTTAGTTTCTTATTACTGCTGTAACAAATTACTGAGTGTAGAGGCTTAAACACAAATTTATTCTCTTGTAGTTTGGAGATAAGAAGTCCAAAATCATGAGTCTGACTCACCAAAGTCAACCTATCAAGAGGGCTTGTTCTTTCTGGAGGTCCTAGGGGAGAATTTGTTCCTTGCCTGTTTCAACTTTTGGAGGCTGCTGGTATTCCTTGGTTTGTGACTGTATCATTCCAATCTCTACTTCTGTCATACCACACCTCCTCTGCAGACAAATCTCTTACTGCCTCCCTCTTACTATAAGGACACTGGTGACTACATCAGGCCCACCTGGATAATCCAGGATAATTTCCCCATTGCAAGACCCATAACAATCACATCTACAAAGTTCCTTTCACCATCTACCATATTCGTAGGTGCCTGGGCTTGGATGTCAACATATTTGGAGAATCATTACTCAGGGTATCACAGGCTTCCTGGCATTTGGTTAGAGTGGTGGAGGCATGTGTCATCATCGGTAGTCCAGTGCAGGATTGTTCACATGGTAGCACTTCTAGGGTTCAAAAAAGCAAATAGTTTTAAAATCTCTGCTTATGTTATTTTTCCTGTTGTCTCTCATTGACCAAAACAAATTGCATAGCTGAAACTAAAGTTAATGTGGGAAGATACTACCATCCAGAGGTGTGGATGCTGGAAGATGTGCACAAATGGGGACTCATTACTGCAACAGAGTAGTACAATGCAAACAAATTTCTAGAAAAACACAACTTAATGAAATAGAAATAGAAAACTTAAATGTTCCTGTAAACACCGAAGAAATATAATCCACATTTAAAATCATTCCTAAGGCCAGCTGCAGGGGCTTATGCCTGTAATCCCAGAACTTTGGGAGGCCAAGGTGGGTGGATCACTTGAGGTCAGGAGTTCAAGACCAGCCTGGCTGGCCATCATGGTAAAACCCCATCTCTACTAAAAATAAAAAAATTAGCTGGGCATGGTGGCAGCACCTGTAATTCCAGCTACTTGAGAGGCTGAGGCATGAGAATCACTTGAACCTGGAAGCCGAGGTTGCAGTGAGCCAAGACTGCCACTGTGCTCCAGCCTGTGTGACAGAGCGAGACTCTGTCTGAAAAAAAAAAAAAAGAATCATTTCTAAAAAGAAGCCATCAGGCCTAGATGGCTTCACTGGTGAATTCTATCAAATATTTAATAAAGAATTAATCTTACAAATTCTTACAGAGCCTAGTGAAAGGGAATACTTCCCAACTCATTTTTTGAATTCTGGATAACTTCAGACATTTTAAGAAAGGCTAATCTTATTTGTGAAAATACATGCAAAATTTCAAAGTAAAATATTAACAAAATCTTATTTAATAAGAATTACATATCATGACCAAGTTGGGCTTATGCTAAGAATGCAAGGTTATTTAACTTTAGATAATTCATCAGTATATTTTCATACTTAATAAAGGAAAAAATTACATTATCTCAATGGTCACAGAAAAAAATATGATAAATTCAACATCCATTATAATAAAACCTCTTTGCAAACTAGGAATAGAAAGGGACATCCTTATTCTAATAAAGGTTATCTACAAAAATACTATAACACACATATCTAATGATAAAAAATGGCAACATCTCCTTTGAGATCAGGAAGGAGAAAAGAGTACTTGTTCTACCACCTTCAATCAACATTTTGCTGCAGTCTCAAGCAGTGCAGTATTGCAAGAAAAAGATACGGCATGAGAATTAGAAAGGAAGAAAACCAATACTCTTATTATTCAGAGATGATATGATTGCTTGGTTAGAAAATTATAAATAATCTGGAGAAAACTTAGAGTAATTCTGAAACAAAATCAATATACAAATAGATACCAGCCACAAAGAAGTAAAAATTCTTTTTCCTAAAAGATACTTGTTACAATAGCATTAAAACCATTGAAATACTTAAGAATAAGTCTAGGCCGGGCGCGGTGGCTCAAGCCTGTAATCCCAGCACTTTGGGAGGCCGAGGCGGGTGGATCACGAGGTCAGGAGATCGAGACTATCCTGGCTAACATGGTGAAACCCCGTCTCTACTAAAAATACAAAAAAAAAAAAAAAAAACAAACTAGCCGGGCGTGGTGGCGGGCGCCTGTAGTCTCAGCTACTTGGGAGGCTGAGGCGGGAGAATGGCGTGAACCCGGGAGGCGGAGCTTGCAGTGAGCCGAGATCACGCCACTGCACTCCAGCCTGGGTGACAGAGCGAGACTCCATCTCAAAAAAAAAAAAAAAAAAAAAAAAAAAAAGAATAAGTCTAATAAAAGATATACAAAATCTCTACAGAGAAGACTGTGGAACTTTATTTACAATAATTAAAGAAGACCTTAATTGATATGATTGTAAGGATTGGATGCCTCAGTGTTGAAAAATACCAGTTTTCCCCAAACTGAACAAATTCAAATAAGGCAAATAAAAATACCAACAGGCTATGTGTGTGTTGGGTGTGTGTGTCTCTGTGTGTGTGTATATAAAACATGACTAATTGTTTCTAAAATATATATGGAAATACAAAGGGTCAAGAATAATGAGTACGGTTACAGAAGTGAAAGGATCTGTTTTATCAGATACAAGGTTTATTATAGAGCGGTAGTAATCAAAACAGTGCAGTGGTGGAAGTCTTGGTGTAGTGAACACAAATGAATTAGTAGATCATACTTGAAACCCCCAAACCGACATCATTATCATTGTAAAATAGTGGGTGAAAAATAGCCTATGCAATAAATGGTGCTGAGAAAAACTGGTATCTTTTTTTTCTTTTAAAGAAACTTTGTGTTTAATGGTAAAAGCTTAGCAGACCCCAGCATCAGGAATGGCATGGAGTCGTAGCAGCAGGGATGGACAGGTGGCCCCCATGGAGCTTCACACGGTGAAGAGGATGTGGAAGGTGACCATCAAACAGAAGAGCCCCCCCATGGCCTCAGACAGGGTAAAACCCAGAATGGCATAGGAGAAGAGCTACTGCCTGAGAGACGGGTTCCTGGCATAGCCAATGATCAAGCTGCCAAACACAATTCCAATGCCAGCCACTGAACCAGCCACACCAACTGTGGCTGCCTCAGCACCGATAAACTTGGTTGCTGTGTCAATGTCCCAGGAGACAACAACAGTGGTCTGGAACTCCTGTCTGGCCACCTGGAGTTGGGAGCTGCTGTAGGAAGGCTGTTTAGATGAATTCTCTGGACTATTCAAGAAGGAGGCAGACACAGGCCTGATTAGACCCCTGGTGCAACAGTGGATCTGAGCTGGAGAAATGAACAGTGCCCCAGTGGTCTGCATTTTTTCAGTCTCCCAGCTTTAGTCCTTGGTCTCAGCACTCAGCCAAAAATTGGTATCTTTATTTTAAAAAAGAAAGAAAATCTGTTCTTCACATTTTATGCAGATTTGAATTAAAAGAGAATTATAGACCTAAATATGAAAGGTAAAACTATGAAGATTTTACTAGATAACATAGGAGAGTACCTTAATCTGTCTGGGGTTAGAAAAGATTACTTACACATTTTTCCAAAAGTTAATTATAGAAGGAATGATTGATGTCTACATTAAAATTAAGATGTATGTGACTTTCCAGTCATGAAAAGACATCATTAAAAGACAAAGTCACAGAGTAGATGTTCACAATACATGTAACTGACAAAAGGACTCATATCCAGACTATATAAAAATCTAAAAAAAAAAAAAAAAAAAAAAATCAGACATTCCTGTAGAAAAACAAGTACTTTGTAAGTGAAGGAATCCTCACTCTGCCTGTCCAAGGATTTGGGCAGCTGACACTTGTAATCCCAGCACTTTGGGAGGCTGAGGCAGGTGGATCACTTGAGGCCAGGAGTTCAAGACCAGCCTGGCCAACATGGTGAAACCCCATCTCTACCAAAAATACAAAAATTAGCCAGAGGTGGTGGCACGTGCCTGTAGTCCCAGCTACTCAAGAGGCTGAGGCAGGAGAACTGCTTGAACCCATGAGGTGAAGTTCACAGTGAGCCAAGATAGTGCCCCGGGCCACAGAGTGCAACTCTGTCAACAACAACAACAACAAGAACAACAACAAAAGTGAGGAAATCCAAAAGGCTAAAAAACTTATTTTAAAATGTTCAATCTAATCCATAATGCAGGATTGCAAATCAGATTCCATTGCACGTGCACCATCGTGGCTTAGCACAATGAAAAGCAAAGAGAAATTTCTTCTTTTACAAGACAAGAAGACGCTGTTGGTAGGAGTGTAAATTGTTTAACTAAGTTATGTATAAAACACTTGGACATTAATCAATAAAGTTTAAGATATGCATACTTTGAAACCCAACAATTCTAATCCTTGATATTCATGCCAGATACATTTAGAAATATGAATACTAGGATCCATGTATAAGAATGTTCATTGTTGGTACTATATATAAAGGCCTGAAACCGGCCAGGTGTGGTGGCTAACACCTGTAATCTCAGCATTTTGGGAGGCCAAGGTGGGTAGATGACCTGAGGTCAGGATTTCGAGACCAGCCTGACCAACATGGTGAAACCCCATCTCTACTAAAAATACAAAAATACAAAAATTAGCCAGGCATGGTGGTGCAGGCCTGTAATTCCAGCTACTCGGGAGGCTGAGGCATGATAATCACTTGAACCCGGGAGGCAGAGATTGAAGTGAGGCAAGATCGTGCCACTGCACACCAACCTGGGCGACAGAGTGGGACTCAAAAAAAAAAAAAGCCTGAAACTGGAAAGTCAGAAATTTATATCAATATTGGAATGGACTAACACACTATGTTATAATCAAACTTTGTTTTTTCTCAAATGTTTTACCTGTGTTAATTCAAGCTCCGCAAGAACCCTATGAGGTAAATATTCTTTAGGGGATGTTTGCCCTTGAGGCCGTATAACGATTAGCATCTTGGGGCACTGCATAGAAATAGTAACACATGTAAGAGTCCCATATTCGAAGGCAGATGAGAATTCTAGATCTTCCTGGGCTTTTGTCTTGTCCAAACCTAACTTCCTTGAGCCTTGTTATCTTCATGGAAGATCTCTACTATGTTATCAAAAATAGTCATCTTGTACCCAAAATAAAACCTCTTGCTTTGCCAAAGGCCTATCAAGTACCACCATAAATTGGGGTCCCACAGGGAAGAAATCAAGGGACAGGGGATCCAGGTGGAGAGGTCGTGGGCTCTGCTGGGCTTTTGAGGCTTCTTGAGGGTGAGTGTGGTGAAGGGAAAGTCAGGGTATGGAGAGCGAGGCTTCTCTGAGGGCTGAGCCAAGCCACACAGGGCCAATCCTCGGGCAGGCAGAGTGGAAAAGTAGGCCTTCTGCTCTTCTGAGTAGCGCTCCCGGGGTGTCACAGCATCCTGGTAAGTCCAGTGATGCCATTAATAAGTTTAGCAAGTTTCTAGAAACAAGTTAATAAGTAAAAATTATATTTCTATACCCCAGAAAAAATCAGAAGCTGTAACAAAAAAAAAAAAAAAAAAAAAAGGCAACCATTACAATGGACAATAGCAATGAAAAATATGAAATGCTAGAAATAATTCTAACGGAAAATTTGCAAGACTTTTATGGAGAAGATTAAAACCTTCTTAGAACACATTAAATGAGATCGAAGTAAATGGAGGATTCTTAGATAGGAAATCTCCCAAATCGATTATATATCTTCAATAAAAATTTTAATTTATGAAACTAGCTGATTTTAAAATTCACCGCATAGAGCAAAAAGCCAAGGGTAGTTAACATATTCACAAAGAACAGGTGAAATAATTTGCTTTCCCAATTAAGGCTTATAAACAGCATATTATTTGGTGCAAGGATAAATAAAGTGATATATTGATAAGTAAATTGATTTATTGAACAGAAATCAGTTTGTTATTATATAGAGAAGTTGTACATGAACAAATTTATATCCATTCTTACCTAGGAAAACACATGTGCACAAGCAAACATGTGCACAAAAATGTCCGCAGCAGCATTGCTTATAATATTCCCAAATTGAAACAACCCAAATGTCTATGAATAGGACAACTGATTGACACAGAGCCATGAAAATAAATGCTTTTTATCTACATGCAATAACATAATTTTAAGAACATACTGAGTGAAAAAGCAAATCAGAAAAATATCCATAGCATTATTTTATCTACATAAAATTTAAAACAAGCAAAACTGAGTTATTTAGGGATAGATCGCTCTAACACTCTAAAGATAAGTATGCTATTCCGGATAATAGTAACATCTTGGGCGAATGCGTGTAGGCAGAGAAATGCGGTCAGGGAAGAGCACAGAGGGGATGTCTAAGGTACTGGAAATGTTTAAGTTCCTAAACAAGATGGCGTGTACACGTGTACACGCCCTCAAATTAAAATGCACTCTTACCATTTATTAGTTTCTCATAACATTCTGATCTCTCTTCTGGATATTTTATGTTGTTTACTAATCTAGTTGTCTATTACCATTACAGTACTAAGTGGCTGTTTATTTTGTTATTCTCATAACTGTGCACTTTATATTTTAAGTTGTGTGTATTATATATTTTAAGTTGCGTGTATTATATATTTCAAAGTAGAATTTTTTAAAAATACAATAAAAGTTTATTTCTTTTCTTCTTTTTTTCAGATGGAGTCTCACTCTATCGCCCAGGCTGGAGTGCAGTGGCGCCATTTCGGCTCATTGCAATCTCCGACTCCTGGGTTCAAGCAATTCCTTGCCTGAGCCTCTCGAGTAGCTGGGATTACAGACGGCCGCCACCACGCCCGGCTAATTTTTTGTTTGTTTGTTTGTAGTTTTAGTAGAGACGGGGTTTCACCATCTTGGCCAGGCTGGTCTGGAACTTCTGATCTCGTGATCCACCCGCCTCGGCCTCCCAAAGTGCTGGGATTACAGGCGTGAGCCACCACGCCCGTGCCGGGCATATTTCTTTCACAAATTAGAGGTGGGTGGTCCAGGGCTGCTAGGGCTGCTTTGCCATTCTTAACAGACAATTTCCCTCTCAGCATCTGAAATGGCTGCAGAACTCTCACTCTTACCTCAACACCCCACAGAAGGAATACGAGGAAGGGCAAGGAAATGAATACATGCCCGAGTACTTTTGAAAAATCTCGAACTCGAACTTTTTAAAAGAAAAAATATCACCCAAATAAAACAGCAATAGAAGAAAATCACCTAAACATAATAAAGACTTTTTATAACAATGAACAGATAGCATAGTACATAATAAAATATCAACACCATTGCATTAGATTAAGAAAACGTTAAATTTACCCTCCATCACCACAACTATTTGGTTTTTTAAATTTTAGCTAAGTCCAATAATGCAAGGAAATTAAATAATTAATATATATATTTTAAAAAGAATAAGCAATAATGTTATTCTTTGCCGATAATGTGGCTATACATTTCAGAGACTTCCTAAAAATCTCATTGAATTAATATTCGACTGGTTACACAATAAATATACAAAAATCAAAAGCTTTCCTTCAACATAGAAATATCCAGTTAGCATTTGAAGAAAAAAACTTAAACATTTAAAAATTAAAAAAACATTTTTACAATAGTTCTAAAGTATATGACTTGTCCCTTGGGATAAATTTAATGAAAGGATACAGGTACTATGGAAACCTTCATTAAAGGTCGAGAATCAATCTTTAATGACTGTAGAGAATTATTTATCCTAGATGGGAATACCTAATATTTAAAATAGTTTTCCGCAAATTAATATATAAATTGACTGCATTTCCACTTATAATCTTATTTTTTGACTTTTCCACCTTTTTTTTTTTAATAGGTTGAAATGATTCTAAGGTTTATAGGGGAAAATAGCTGAGACCGGTCAAAATTCTTTTCTAACTTAATGAGGGAAGACTTGCCTTCTCAGGTATCAACACCTGAAAGCTACCATAGTTAAATCCACTTAGTACTGCAATGGTAATGGACAACTAGGTTAGTAAACGATATAAAACTATTCAGAAGAAAGATCAGAGTGTTATGAGAAACTAATAAATGGTAGGAGTGCATTTTAATTTGATGGCTAAGGATAGTTTATTTATAAATATGCTGGCATAATGGGCTCTCCATCTGGAAAAAAACAAAATTATATCTACAGTTCATATCATTTTGAAAATAAATTCAGTTTTAAAATATAAAAGTATAAAATATAGAATGAAATTTAGGAAAATATTTTGTAACCTTGATGTGTTAGAAAAACTCAGAAGCAAAAAACATCAAGATAGACGTGCTTAACTTCATAAAAAATAGCTTGTTTTTATATGGTGAAAAATTTCATATACTCAAAAGACCATAAAAAATTTTCAAGTTGTATGGCAAAGGGCATATATATTGAAAATACTTGGCTTGGTGCCATGGCGCACACCTGTAATCCCGGGACTTTGGAGGTCAAAGTGGGGATATCATGTGAGCTGACGAGTTCAAGACCAGCCTGGGCAACATGGAGATACCCTGTCTCTACAAAAATACAAAAATTAGTCGGGTGTGGTGGTGCACCTGTAGTCCCAGCTATTCAGGAGGCTGAGGCGGAAGAATTGCCTGAGTCAGGGAGGTCGAGGCTGTAGTGAGCTGAGATTGCAGCACTGCACTCCAGCCCGGGTGATAGAATGCGCCCCCAGCCCCCCAAAAAAACTCTTTTTTTTTTTTTTTTTTTTTTTAATTTGAGACAGAATCTCACTCCA